CATCTCGTGAATGAATAAAGGAAACAAAAAAACTTGTAGATTTCCCCCATTTTAATATCATTCTCCACTTTTGTTTCTGTTAATCAGTGATGGAAAACAGTCCCATTTATCCACAGCAGTACAGGATGTTGGTGAGGCCGCAGTTAGAGTACTGTGTATAGTTTTGGTCTCTGTACATAAGAAAGGATATACTGACATTAGAGACTGTTCAAAGCAGATTCATCAGGTTGATCCCTGGGATGAAGGGGTTGACGTATCAAGAACTGCGAAACAGGTTAGGTCTTCGCTCATTACAGTTAAGAAGAATGAGAGGTAATCTTATTGAAACATACAAGACTCTAACGGTGTTTGACAGGGTAGATACTGAGAAGGTATTTCCACTAGTGGGGGAATCTCAAACTAGGGAACATAGTTACAGATTAAGGGGAGACTCATTTAAAACTAAGATGCAGAGGAATTTCTTCTCCCTGAGTATAGTGAATGTCTGGAATTCTCCACCCGAGAGTGTTGTAGAGGCTAGATCAAGGAAAGTATTTAAAGAGGAAATAGATTTTTTTAAAAAATATCAAGGTGTTGAGAGCTATCATGAGCTGGCATGAAAGAGGAATTGAGGCCTGGGGCAGATCAGCATGATTTTATACATTGGCAGTACCGGCTCGAGAGACTGAATGGCCTATTCCTGCTCCTATTTCTTATGTTCTTGTGTTCTCATTGAAGACATAGGGAGAAAATCCCTAATGTTTGTGATACAAAAGAATAGTTCCAGTCACAAAATCCAGTTTTCTGTTTGTAGTTAGAAGTGCACGTCCAGAGACAACACATACAATGAATTGGCTACCAACAATCACTGGACACTGTCTGCTGAAAAATGATGCAACTAACATGGCTGAGGCCAACTCTGGATCCATGTCCATGGTTGGATTCTCAGCAGGATCACTCGATTGGGACCATGCATGGGAATTATAGATGACATTTTGCACAGGACCGTGAAAGCACTTGGTCATGTTCACTGTAGATCAGATGAGATCAGTTATCTCAGAATAGACCAGACTAGTGGAAAACATTTTCCTGGTCTGTATTACTGAGGGACTCATTGCACAGCTCAGAGGACTGGTTTCATTTCCACATTAAGCTTGCTTTGGGAAGCAATTTGGAATTAAATCAAATTTAGAAGTTGCATGTAAATGGAGAAATACTTGGCAGTTGGGAAACTGTAGAACAATATTTTCACATGTCTGCAGCACATGTTTCTTGTTCAGGTTTTTCCTGTCTCTGACAAGTGATTTGTGACCGAAACAGCTGTTAATCGAACAATTAATAAATGAAACAAATGTAAAGAAAGTGAAGACAGGCTTTTCAAAGAAATAACGTCCTCAAATAAACACTCAAAGTCTGGGGAATATGCAAGATGTTAAAAATGACTGAGAGTCCCTGGAAAACAACTCAGTTTTCCTATCTCCTCCCAACTGTTTCATTGCTTCTTCTCTGTACTTTTCTATGTTATTTGTTTAATTCACATCCCAGCTTTTTTCCAACTCTTGCTGCATATGGCTGAATACTAGCAGTCCTCTAGGAACTATTTGTATAAACTTAGTGTGGGAAAACTGAAGAAATTCAAATAGTCCAAAGCCAATCAGCCTAAATGTCATTATCAAATCAATGTTGATGCACAATATATTATGTAATTAAGCCTATATGTGTCTTAATGAATGTCCATGAAACAGACCTAGTGTTGACGGTTTGATCCTCTGCCTCTATTAACACAGTGACTTTGAGGGTGGTTCTGTGCTACCTAAGAGCATTGCAGTGACATGGGGTCAGCATACTGTACAAAATGTGACAAGTGGTACAGGGCACAATTTAGGAAACAATTTTTCAGAGTCCTTTCTTTTGTTACAATCTGTTTGAACACACAGCATATCAATTGTTTGTTTCTTTTCCTCTGAGTCAGCAAACTAGACAGAAAAAAAATAAAAATGCAATGGACTTTAAGCAAAGAGAGAAAAAAAATCTTTCCAGAAATTAGAGCTGTCAGAACAATGGGTATAAGCCACAGGGTCAGAGGAAAGTGGTGTGTCTGGATTTAGCTGATGTGATTTTTTTTTTGCTTTTCTTTGTTCTGTTTGCAAAAGGGGGATAACACTGAGTTTATCAAGAGGCAGTCAAAAACACTGGGCTTTTGCTGATCTTGTTCATGCTAGAAGTCAAAGCTCTGCCAGCACAGCAGATCTGTGAGTGATAGCTACCGTTTATTGTTCATAACAGTGGCCTTGCATTTCAGATGCTGATTTTGAGAATTACTGTTCCATGACAACAGTCAGCACATGATGTAGCTATGGATGCAGCATGGACACCAGAAAAGAGACTTTACATTATAGCCACTTCCATTTCTTTTTAAGGTTAACAAGTGTTCAAGAAAATTTTCTAGATCAGTATGTTTCTACTAAGTTTAACCTCCGTAGTGGAAAACTTTTAGAAATGGTAATTTGGGACATCTGTGGATTAAGTGAGGAAAGCCAGCACATGTCTATTAAGGGAAAATTGTGTTTAGCTAACTTGATTGAGATTTTGATGTGGCTCATAGTTTATATGTTTCATAAAGAAGGTTGATGAGGGTAATGCAGTTAATGTGGTGTACATGGACTTCCAAAAAGCATTTGCGAAAGTGGCACATAACAGGCTTACCCGCAAAGTTTAAGCCCATGGAAAAGAAAGGACAGTGGTAGCATGGATATGAATTCAGCCAAATAACAGGAAACAGGAAGTGGTATTGAATGGCTGTTTGTCAGCCTGGAAGAATGTATATAGTGTGGTTTCCCAAGGATCAATGTTTAGAATCATTGCTTTTCTTGATCTGTATTAAGAATCTAGTCTTTGATGTAAAGGGTATAATTTAAAAATGTGTGGATGATCCAAAAATTCAAAGTATAGTGATCTGTAAGAAGGATAGTGATAAACTTCAAGAGGTCATAGACAGGTTGGTGAACAAATGCCAAATGATATTTAGTGCAGAGAAGTGTGAAGTGATTCAATTTGGTAGGAAGAATGAGGACAGGAAATATAAAATAAAGAACACACTTCTAAAGAGTGTGCAGGAGCGGAGGGACTGGAGATGTATGTTAGACAAATAATTGAAGGTGGTTGGGCAGGTTGAGGAAGTGGTTACTATAAGTGATGTTCAATGGGGTATTTCAGGAACCTACCAACAGAGTGAAAACAGTTTGTGCAACCCTTCAGCTCCTTTTGCTTTGTCCCCAAAGCTTTTATTCCTGCCCATCGATCCCAACCAAAAACAAGCATTATGCCAAGCATCTTTCTCCTCACAGACAGTAATATCACAAAGAACTGTGATCACAGCTGGCACTAAACTTAAGGAAGAACATGACAACATTGAAGAGGATGCAAAGAAAAACCTACAAGATGATTCCGGAGATGAGGGACTTCAGCAGCAAGGATTGAGCCACTTAGGGCTGTTCTTCTTGGAGAAGAGAAAGTTGAAAGGAGATTTAACAGAAGAATGCAAACTTTGGAGAGAATGGACAACTGTTTGCATTGGCTGAAGGGTCAAGAACTAGGTTGAAGATGAATGGCAAAAGAACCAAAGGTGTCATGAGGAAAACCATTTTTATGCAGGGAGTGGTTACAATCTATGGTGCTTTACCAAAGAGTGCAATGGAAGCAGAGGCAGTTCGAGCTATCAAAGGAGTAATTGATAATTATCTGTAAAGAAGAAAAAAATGCAGGACTCCAGGTTAGAAGAGTGGGGACCAATATTCTCCGACACCTGCTCTGAGGGTCTGTGCACGGCAATCGATGTGCCAATACCATTCGCAGCATTGACTTCCAGTTCCACAAGCTGCTGCAGTCCTTGGAACTCAGAGGCCGATGCAAACAAAAACAAAATTAGCAGGAACGCTGGTGGGGGCTGGGTATGTTGCACATGCAGACAGCCAGCACTGAGACTATAGGTCAAACAGCTTTCTTCTGTATTGCAAATCTTCATTGATTTTACAAACCATCGCTCCTGCATTTTTCAGATTCTGTGTCATAAGGCAATCACTACAGCTAATGCACAAAATGCCCAGACTCCTGTGGCCTATTCTAAACTGGAGTGGCAGTTTTAATAACAGTCCATGACGAAGGTAGGTAGTTCTACACTGAGAGTTAGTTCTTAAGATCTCCTTCTGTGCTTTAAGAACTGTAGAATCATAAATCAAACTTAGTATCGAAAGAATCAAGAACCAACATGTAACCCTGTCTTACATTTCAATTTCACTTTTTGAAATCTTTTTCAAAGTGTTTCAAACAGGAAGATTGTTTCCTCACCGTTTGAAAAGATACATGAACTTGGATATATATGTACTGTGTTCCAGATTTCTCACCACACAAACCACTAACAATAACGGACACTTGTAACATACACCAAGTATTACACAATGAATTCTGTATCTCTTATGATGTTATAAGTAGATGTTTGATATCACAACATCTTTCGCTTGTATTATACTGCAAAGTTCAAATTTTAGTCTGCTATCGAGAAATGTCAGGTTACCACAAATTGATTTCTTTTTTTGACTGCAACATGAATTTATATTATGCTTGAGAAGTAAGGTTCCAGGGCTTGCTGAAGTAAAACAATGCAAAATGCTGGAAATTTGAAATTTAGACAGAAACGTTAGAAATATTCAACAGGTCAGGCAGCTACTGTGGGAAAAGAAACAGTTCACATCTCAGGTTGGTGACCATTCATCAGAACTTGACAAATTGTGCAAGTTAAAATGTGTTAGTAACGGACAAGTAAAGATATAAAAGAGCAGCCTGGGCAATGGCAAGAAAGCTAAGAGAACATGGCAACAATGAAAAAAAACAAATTGCTCATATTGAGGAAAAAAAAGTCAATGTTTCCCCTTAGAGGGTTTCAATGCTGAGTTTTGAATCTTCCTAAAGAGAGGTGACCTATTAGTTCCATGTATTTGCATCTCATTATTAGCTAGACTCACCTCTTTTCTGTGCAGTTCCCAATTCTCCCCTCCTTCCTTGAGAAACTCGATGGTGGGAGTTCCTGAAATGAAAATCAAAGAAATTAACCAGTGGCAGCAGCTTGCTTCTGTGGGTCTCTGGACAACTCCACCCTCGCTACTCAGTTCCCCCTATGCTCCATGTCCTCTTCTACGCTATGTCCATAAAAGTGGGCATTGCCAAGCCACCAGCCTCACCACATCATCACGACTGCCTTCTCACGCCACTTCAGCCCTTTGGAACTTCATTTGGAACTCAGGGATGCTTATGACTTGTATAATTCTGACAGGTTATTTTGCACACAGGGATACACGCGCATTTCATGCATCGACACACAGTGCATCTTACGGCTCTTTGCTTATCTTCTTAGCATTCACTCGCTTTGCACTTACTGGGGGCTGCCAGCCTCTGGCTGCCATTGCTTTTGAAGCACAGAAAGAGATGCAGGCAGCTTGTCATGATGGGGAGCACGAAAGAAAGCGTTAGATATGTCCCATACAGCACACTGTCACACCCACAACATGAGCCAGCAGCTTCCACAGCAAACTCACTGAATATGCTTCAACTAAATGGCAATGTCTACAAATCAAAGGGGAACAAGTCCTTAGTGGAGTGAAGGGCTATCACAGTCAGTCAAGAAGTTCATCCGATCTCAGTCCAGAGGATGGGCCATGGTCACTCCTATGGATTTGGGTATGAACTGTCAGGGGCTTGACTGGGGCAGTCCATGTGTTTATGGGGAAAATGGGAAGTTCGAGTTGATTACAACAGCGTGACTGAGCCCAACAACAACAGTAGCCTCCAGCAGCTACTGTACAGCCTCCAGAGGGAAAAGCAGCATGTGCAGATTATCCAAGGAGACAGAACAGTGAACTAGACCCCTGAATCTACTGGTCTCACTGTCATCGTCATCTACAGTTCTCAGGAATCAAGCAAAGATGGGGACTAAGAATAACCCAGGCCATCATCACTGAACTGGATCATCAAATTTTGCTGGAACAGACTTTCCCCTTGGAAGAAGTGAATGATCATCCCATCCTGGTGCCCATCAAGATTACATCTGCCCTGAAGGGTTATGCCAGCAGCTTGTTCCAAGGAACAACTGGAGACAGCTGGGGCATCTCCCAGTCCTTGATCCAAAATGGATCTGGGCTATCCTGATGATACCAGGTTGTATCCTTCCTATACAATGAGGTGAGTGAAACAACTCAGGCACTGGGACTGTCCAATATTGATAGCTTCCCCCAACACCCAGGCACTATAGACTGCAGATTTTGAGACCTCAGACCTATCACCTTCCTGCAGCACACATCAATGGAAAAGCCTTCAACTCCATCAATGTCCAGCTTAACTCAGACCAATCATGCAAAATTTCAGCGCTGTCCACCAGGTATCCTGTAGGGTGCCATGATGTGTACGTACTGGAAAACTCTCAGGTTCCTGTATCATGAAGATGAGATCTTGATGCCAAGACCACTCCAGTGGGCCATGCATTATAACCCAGAAAGAGTGGCCGCATCATTACTGTTCACAATTGGAGCAGATGAAAGTGGGACGGGGTTGCTGGATGCAGAATAAATGGGGCATCGAGAGCAATCCTCTAACAAGGAAAATCAGGGGGACTTCTAGGAGACTATGATAGAGCAATGCACCTCAATGTGCAAGGTCAGATACAGCCTATTAAAACCCCTTAGCATGAATGAGATGTTCTTTTTTCTCATATGGCATGCAGTCCCTACAGCCAACAGTACACGGAAACCTGGATTTTTCTGTACTTCTTGAACTTTGCTGAATAAATGTTTCCTTACCCATATGATTGATTGTATGCATGGTATCTTTGGGCTGATCCCACCTTAAA